AACATCAAGTTCGCCGACCTCCCCAACGGCATCGCCGCCTTCAAGGCCATCCCGCCCGCCGGCCTGTTTCAGATCCTGCTCTTCATCGGGGCGATGGAGGCCTTCACGTGGCGGTACTACGAGGGCCCGTGGCCGGGCAAGGTGCCCGAGGGCAAGGCGCCCGGCGACGTCGCGGGCGACTTGTGGGTGCGCTACACCGACCCCGAGGAGAAGGCCTTCAAGCTCAACGCCGAGATCAACAACGGGCGGGCGGCGATGATGGGCTCCCTCGGCACGCGACCATGCTGCGGGCCCGCAGCACGCCTCGCGCACGAGCCCCCGACCCCTCGAGCCGCCCCTCCGCCTCCCCGCAGGCATGCTGATGCACGACCACATCCTCGGCACGTGGGTGCCGCCCGGCTTCGAGTAGAGCCGCCGCCAACCTGCCGTTTCCCGGGAGGCCGCACGCACCACGCCGCCTTCCCGGCCGCGCCCGCCAGCCGGGGCGCGCCGCCGAGGCGACGCGCGCCCGCCGCAGTCTCGCTGCCCCCCCCCTTTCCCCTGCCCGGTGGGCGGAGCGGGGGGCGGAGTTGCTCGGGCGAGCGCGCACCCACACCATTTTACGCTCTGCTGTGATGAGAGACTTAGCATCCGGATGTGCACGCGCTCCACACACCGCATGTGTTGTTGTTTTGGATAGCGCGTAGAGGGACTTGAGAAAAATACGATTCCGACCGCGCGCAGAGGGCAGAGGCTAGAGCGCAGAGTCAGAGCGGGCCAAAAGCCAGAATTAGGCAGAGAGCACTCTGGCACAGCCACAGGGGGCCGCAGCACAAGGACGTAGGACAGGCACGCCCCCCTCTTTGGGCCAAATCGCTGTCCAAAGTTCGAGTGATGGCCAAAGATACACTTGACTATACGTTTCAAAGATACACCTTTAAGCTTTATAACATTACACCGGTGTATCTTCCGCGAAGTGTATCTTCGAAGTTTAACGCGGTCTCCGTGAATCGCGATTTTTTTCGAGGTCAGACCCATTCATGCCTGCACCCTGGCACCACTGTGGACGGTCCGTCCGACGTCGGGTAACCGTCGCCGCATCGCCCTCGCGACTCAAGGTGCGCGCAGCGTGACCGCCGTGAGCTGCCCTCCCGACCCATGTAAAAAATCCGCCATCTCCCCTCTCAGTGAGCCGGGAGAGCGCTCCGGGCACCTCCGGGCAGCCGTCTCCCCGCCACGAAAGCTCTGCCGAGAGCGCCGTTCCCATGGGCGGCGTTCCCGAACCATTCGTAGGCGCCGCGCGGCATTGCCAATGCTCCATCGACGCGGTGCAGGCGGCCCCAAACCAAAGGGGTGGACACGTGCCGCCAAGAACGCCTTCCTAATCCACTTTGGTGTGCGCACGGGCGGTGCTCCAGTGGACGCCACTGCCGACGGCGCCGCCGCCGACCCGCCCGCCGCCGACCCTCCCACCGAGGAGGTCGACGGAGCTGCAGACCCAGCGATGCAGTCCGAGGCCGCCGCTCCGGCGGCAGAGGCTGACGTCCCGATGGCGCAAGCGCTGAGCGATGCCGAGCTTTCATCAGATCACGAGCACGAGGAGCAGCCGCTGCTCCATGAGCAGCGGCTTGCGACAGTCAACCAGGAGCAGGCACGGCTTGAGGCGCTGCGTTGGACCGAGGAAGAGGTGGCTTTGTGGGTGAGTTGGGGGGGTGTGAAGGAGGACTTGATCTAGGCTGGAGATTGCACGTGGAGCACTTGGAGGCGCTAGAAGGAGTTCGAGGAGGAGCGTGCGGGCTACATGGAGGAGACCTCGTGCGACGAGTCCGAGGACGAGGACGAGGACGAGAGCGACGGCGAGGCGCCCGCACCCGCCCCCGCCCCCGCACCCGCACCTGCACCCGCGCAGCGTGCAGCGTGCAGGGAAGCGTAAGGCTGCACCGCCTCGAGCACTGCCGACGCGCCCGCCAGACAGCAGTGATGACGATGGCCCATCATTGCATGCGCCAGCACCGGCGCGGGCAGGGCGGGGGGCCAAGCCGGCAGCCAAGGGGTCCGCACGGCGCAAGCCGCCAGCAGCCAAGCCAGCAGCCAAGCCAGCAGCCAAGCCAGCAGCCAAGCCAGTAGCGGCCATGTCGAAGCGTCAGCGACGGAAGTGATCTGTACACACTGCATGAGTATGAATCGTGTGTGTGTGTGTGTGTGTGTGTGTGTGTGTGTACTATTGTACGAGATTTGTACATTGCGCTCTAGTTTGGGGCTCTTGGGCAGCAGCTCACAGCCTATTTTTGGTCGGTTTTTGGCGCTAAAAATGCAAAATTTTCTTCGCGGGGCTCTGCCCCGCACCCCGCTGGGGCTGCCAGCCCCAGACCCCAGGCTGGGGCTCCGCCCCAGACCCCGAGTTAGGCGCTGTCGGCGGCCAGAGGCCGAGTTACGTCTGCAGGCAAAAGTCGCTCGCTGCCGTCTGAGCTCGAAAAAAATCGCGATGTGAAGATACACCGCTTCGACCTGGAACCCGTGTATCTTCGTATGAAGATACACCGCTTCGGCGCGGAACCCGCATAAGTAAATCTCAGTGTATCTTCACGGTGTATCTTCCGTCCGTCTAGATACACGGAGGAGTGTAACTTCTCTCTCATGACACGAACCTCCCTCCAGGGAACCTCCCAAAAAGGGGGGGCGTGCCGGTCCTTGCGGCGCAGCACCCACAGGCACATTACCACACACAGAGCGCCGTCGCCCCTGCGACGCAGGCCTCGGCAGCGGCATTCTCCAGACTCCAGTCGGACAAGTCCGACTGCCAGTCGGCACACGGCAGTCCGGTGTCCCTCAACGCCGCACCCGCGCCGCCGCGCGCACGCGCACCCCCACGGCACATAACGAGCGCGCGCGGGGGCGGGCCGCGGGGCCGCACCACCCGCCACGCAGCGGCCACGGCGCACGGGCCAGCGGCGCAGCGGCTCTGGGGGGAGGCGAGGGCCCTAGGGGGTACCCATGCGGGGGGGAGATGGGGTCCTCCAGCCCGCCGCAGGCGCCGCTTTTTTCGTATTTTTTCTTTTTCGAGCATTTTTTACTTGTTTTCATGGGAACTCGGCGTACTTGCGGCCATGCTATCACGCCTTGCGACATCCTTTCGGCGCTGCTGACCGTGCCATGCTGCTCAACTGACCGCCTGCATAGCTCGCGGCCTTAGTCTTCGGCATTCAGTGACGACCTGATCGTACGGCCAGTAGGAAGGTGTCCTTCCAGCGCGTGCACGCTCGCTTCTGACGCAATGCGCGTCACAAACTGCCTCGGATTGGCTGCTGGCACTCTCGAGGCTATGCCTACACAGCCTCGCGCGCATGGGCAGTCAAGAGGGACCATGCACCTTCTCAGGACAGCGCCGGTGCCTCTCTCTTGGACCGGCAAACGTGGTGGTCTCGTGTCACCGATGTGGGACCAGTGCGGCATCGCGCCATCGACAGCTCTGAACTGCGCCTCACCACTGACCGGGAAGGCCGCCAAGTGGGTCAGCACCGGTCGCACATTGTGGCAGCAGTCAGCAGCGCATGTCTGATAGCTAGAGCAGCAGCGTCAGGGTCGCAGGGTCGGATCGTGTCAAGCCTCTCGCCCGGCCGGCCGTGTGCAGACGTCGGCCTGTCTGCTGTCTGGAGTGATCTGTCGGCGGTCAGTACGACCGATCAGGTCGGAGTTTCTGATGATTGGAGGGTCTATCTGTATGTACTCCTCGAGATCTCTCCAAATCTGCCCTCTGATTAACCTAATCGGGAAGTTGGTGCTAGTAGAGACTAGTAGAGCCGGAGCCCCGTTTCCGCACTGCGGCGCGGCGCACGGTGCCTCCGGGGGCCCCCGCCTCCCCCCAGAGCGCAGCGGGTGTGCAGCGCGAGAAAGTTCCACGCGGAGCGCGGTCTCCGCCGTCCGCGGTCGAGGCTCGAGCCGGGGAGAACACGAGCGCGGGCTGTGAATATGGCTGTGAATACGACGTGTGTGTGCGAGCGGACGCGAGAGATAAAACCGAGTCCACACCGCAGTCACACTACTCACTAGCACTTCACTCAGCAGACACTCAGGCTCAGCAGAGCAGCGAGCCCGCTCCCTGCGCTGCGCTTACTATTCGATCATAGGTACATAGCAGGCTCTTACTGAAACCGCCAGATCGCCTGCCTCGCACGGCCGGCCGGGTCTGACGTGGCCCTCGGGCTGCGGTGGAGATGCTCCGCGTCCTTGTACACCAGGATCTCCTGCCCGCGGCAGTAGCGAGGCCTCACGATGTGCTCCTCGGTCACACCGAGGTCAGATGCAGCCTTCCTGTCCTGCTCACCCGTGCTGAGCCCGCGGTAGCTGTTCCTTGCCTTCAGCGACTCCGTTGAAAACTCGTGCGACAGCTGGACCAGCTCGGTGAGGATGCCCTCCCCCTCGTGAACGTCGTGACCACTTGCCCCGGCCGCAGGGAAGGCGAGCATCACCGTCCGGCAGGCGCCAAACGCGTACTGCAGATCGGCAGCGGCCCAGTCTTGGTGCCACTCCAGCGCCCCGGGCGGCGGCCGCTTGCTCTCGAACGACGTGAACCCTCCCCAGTGGTCTCCGCAGAGAGAGCTGATCGAGCTTACAAACTCGTCCGCGGTGGGCGCCCTGTCGCCGACGTGCTGCCTGAGCACGTCGCCTAGGCGTCCGCGACAGCCCTCCTCGTCTGACGCGGAGTCCGCGAGCGAGGTACCGATCTTGAAGAGGACCTTCACGTCGCGTGCGCAGCCGATCAGGGCGGTCCGGAAACTCCCAGACGCATGGAAGACCTCCGCGAGCGCCGGGCCGAATGTGTCCGCGAGGCTGACGAGCTCGTACCGTGCGGTGGCGGCAGGGCCCTTGAAACTATCGAGCGCGCTGGGGACGCGCAGCACGAGGCCCGCGCCCATCGCCGTCGGCTGCTCGGCCGCTGTGCCGGACACTCCCGCCCACCCGTCAATCGGGTTCAACGTGATGGCCTGCGTGCCGCCGACGTGTGAAGCTGGCGGTAGCCCGACGAGGCACAAGAGCATTCGTGCACGACGCCTATGCGCCGGGCGATCAGCTAACCGATCGTTTCGCAGAGCCGCAAAAAAAGTAAAGCGTC